CTGATGCAGATGCTGATGCAGCCGATGCTGCTGCTGCTGATGCTGATGCTGACGCTGCTGATGCTGATGCTGATGCTGATGCTGATGCTGATGCTGCTGATGCTGCCGATGCTGATGCTGACGCTGCTGATGCTGATGCTGATGCTGATGCTGATGCTGATGCTGCTGATGCTGCCGATGCTGATGCTGCCGATGCCGATGCTGATGCTGCTGATGCGGATGCTGATGATGATGCTGATGCTGCTGATGATGCTGATGCTGCTGCTGATGATGATGATGATGATGATGATGATGATGATGGTGACGATGATGCTGCTGATGCTGATGCTGATGCTGATGCTGTCGATGCTGATGCTGCTGCTGATGATGAGGGTGACGCTGATGCTGCAGATGATGCTGATGCTGATACTGATACTAATGTTGGTGTTGATGATGCTGATGCTGCTGCTGCTGATGATGATGATGACGACGATGCTGATGCGGAGGAAGATGAGGATGATGATGCTGATGATGATGATGAGGAGGAGGAGGAGGCGGAGGAGGAGGAGGAGGCGGAGGAGGAGGAGGAGGAGGGAGGAGAAGGAGAAGGAGAAGGAAGAGGAAGATGAGGAGGAGGAGGCAGAAGAGGAGGAGGAGGAGGAGGAGGAGGCAGAGGAGGCAGAGGCTGGAGGAGGAGATTCGTTTGACTCCCCGCCAGTGCACAGCGGCCGCGGCGATCCCCGCCAAGGACCATCCGGCACGAAAAGGGCGGTGCTCGGCATAGCTCCCTCCTGCTGTTGCTGCTGTTGCTGCTGCTGCTGCTGCTACTGGGACTCCTACTCTCGGCGGCGAAATCCGAACCCTACCCTCGCCGATCAACGATTCAGGCAACTCGCGATGGGCGGTGGGGGTAGTGTTCGGTATTCGTCGGACACGTGGCGAAATCTGACCCCTACCCCCGCCTCCCATAGATTCAGGAGAATCGATGGTTCGTGTGGGTCGGGTTGGATTGTCGCCACGCATCCTCCCTCTTGCCCCCCCCTCCTCTTCATCCTCCCCCCCTTGTCTCCTCCTCTTCCTCCTTCCCCTCCCCCTTCCCCTGCCGTCCTCCCACTCCTCCTCCTCCTCCTGCCCCCCTGGACCCCCGACGCCGCCGCTCTGCGGCGCGGCGGGGGCCTCCGGGAGGTCTCGGCCCCCGCCCCCATCGGGGCCCGGCCCTGCCTCCCGAGCCGCTGGCGCCGACGTACGTCGCAGATCGGATGTCGTTCGGGAAGCGATGGGGGGTGGGCTCGGGGCTCTCCCGGACCACTGCTTTCGGGGGAGCGTAAGACCCGGGTTTGCCGGGACTCGGGTTCGCCATCGTTTTTTGACGACCGCGACTCGGATTTTGACGAGGAGGAGTTTTGTGGGATGTCTGCAGCGGGAGGCCTCGTCAAAATGCAGGCTCGGCCTCGTCATTTTTTTGACGACCTCGTCCGGGATTTCCGAGCCCCCCGTACCCGGGTCTTACGTCTCCCCGATGCTTCCGAGGTGAGTTTCGTGCGTTTTTTTTTTGCCTGGCCAGGAGTGGAGACCAACAATCACCCACGCGGAGTTCGCTCCGTGTTTCGCTCGCCGCTGCGGGGTGTCGCGTGGGCAGGAAAATCCACGCAGACATCCGCTGCATCACGTCTGCAAGGCTGGTGCAACGTGCACTCTTGGAGCAGAATGCGATCCCTAGTTTGAAGTCGGGCATGTCCCTCTACAGGAGGGATCTTCAAACCTAGTCAAGAGATCGGCCGGGTACGATTGTTCGACTACATTTGATTATTATTTGGCTCACGCCGCATTCCGAGCCCTTGGGGACGAGTCACTGTTGCGGCTTCTGGATGTTGCGTGATTTATGTATTATCATGTCTGAGCATGTTTTCCTATTTCTAGTTTTTCATTCAAACTCCGCCTGTAGGAGGACATGCCCGACCTGACCCGAATTTTGATACCATAGTGAATTCGTGACCTACTTTCGGTCTCCGGTTTTTTGAGGCAGCCCAGGGCACATGGTCAGATTCGTTGGGTATCTGTGCTGCAAGACTCCGTATCCCCAACGTGTTTGGCTTTCCCAACTTAGGTCCCCTCCCAGAAGGTTGCATGTGGGGTGTGCGTGTGTGTGTGCGCGGAGGTGTTGTGGAAAAGCTTCTATGTGGTGTCGTGGGAAAGCTTCCGTGTGGTGTTGCGTGTGTATGCGGGACCCAGACATCCGACGTCTCGCTTTTTTCGAGACGCGGGCCCCCGACCTCCCGACCACTTCCCCGGGACCGGTTTTTCATCCCGAGTTGTTTTTGACGGTCTCGAGGCCCTGCGAGGGCCTCGAGAGGCCATGCCTCGATTTTTTCGAGACGCCCGATGTGTGGGGATACTCTTGTGGCTTGTCCTGCGCACGCCCCCCCCCCCCTTGGCCGAGGGCGGGGCCTGGAGGCGGAGCATCGCAGAGCATGCTCGCCGTGGCTTCTTCGCGACGCGAGGGGACGCAGGCCCCCCAGTGGCCTCCCCTCGCCCTGACCAGAAGCTCGCGGGACAGGGGGGATCCGTCCGCTGCGGCGGCGAGGGGCATCCTGGGGGCCCAGCAGGGGGGTCAAAAGCGTCGCCGAACAGCACCGGTCCTCGATCCTCCTCTACCTCCTCCTCCCCCTGTCCCTCTCCCCAGTTTCTCCCTCTCCCCGCAGTCCTCCCGCGACGGAGGAGGAGGGGGGAGGGAGGAGGACGGGGAGGGAGGAGGACGGGGAGGCAGGAGAGGAGGGAGGAGGGGAGAAGCAGAGTGAGGAGGAGAGGGAGGAGGAGAAGGAGGAGGAGGAGGAGGAGGAGGGGAATCCCAGACGAACGATGTCTGGATTTCTGCAATGCGGGGTCCACAGAAGTCCCGCCCCAGGGCCCAGCGATGGCCCTCCCGAGGCCGTAAGCGGCCGAGCGTGTGCTATCGCGAAGTTTTGTTCCACGACGCGAGCACGCCTGGGGCCCCGATCCCCGCCGAGTGGGAGAGCTCCCCCCCCTGCAGCTGCCCGCGAGGAGGCGCTCCCCCACCCCTGAGAGGCGGCGGAGCTCGTCCCGCGGGCGGAGGCGCTCCCGGAGCTAGGAGCCGCCCAGAGCCCGAGGGCTGCACCCGGGAGGATCGGAGGGGACACGAGAGACCGAGTGGGTCGGATGTTGCTCGGGGAGCGAACCATGACATACAGTCGGCCCTAAATAGTAGGCCGACCCTGCCAAATCAAGGGTACCCTTAGGTACCCTTGTGTCCTGTGCCTCGCAACCCATGCTTCCTGCATCCCCCATGGCAATGTGGCCCTCGGAAGGGTCGTGCGTGCTCTCACGTGTCCTGTCCAATCAAGGCCGACTGTAAACATAAAAACTCGGAGGTCCGCGCTGATTTTTGGGATCCGCGCTGGATCCCCCTGGCGGTGCCTCCGGCGCCGCCCCCGGCGCGCTCCGCGCGCCAGGGAGGGGGGTCCAGCGCGGGTCCAAGAAATCCACGCGGACCTCCGAGCTTCTATGTGTATGCCATGTTTCGTTTCCCTGATGTTGTCCGACGTTGTCGTTGGCCTTCGGCGCTTTACCAGTCTCAGGGTGTCTTCCGGCAGCTGCGCCTCGCCGAGATGGCAGGCGGAGGGCCGAGCTATGGCACGAAAGCAGTTTGTTCGAGGATCGAGGTTTGGTTTCTGAGGTTTATTGATTTTCCTTGGGCGACCTTGTAGCCACGGATACAGTCGGGGCCCTGAAGAAAGGAACCCTTGCCGTTTGGGAGGGGCTCCGTGCTCCTTGTTTCATAGTTTGCCTTGGGTTTTCCTTTGGTTTTCGATGGGGAATCGAAGTTCATCTCGTGGATAGAAGGGGCCTCGTTCCTTCTTTAGGGTTCCTTGGGTCAACGCTCCGATTGTAGATCCGCTTAGCAATTCTGGTCAGGACGCACCCTGGGAGAGGTCCAAGGGTCGGCAGGTTCGTGACCCCTGAAAGAAAGGGGACGACCACCGACAGCAGTTTCTGTCAAACGTTTAACGGGGCTTCTTGTCCGCGTCGCTGGACGGCGTCAACGTTTGAAGAAAAGACGCCTACTCTCTGTCGGGTAGGCGTTTCTTTTTCAAAAGTGGACGACGTCCAGCGACGCGGACCATGAGCACCGTTCAACCATTGACAGGAACTGTTGACGGTTTTCATGTGTATCGAGTTGTGTTGTTGTGTTGTGTGCCCATGTTTTCCAGGTCGGGCCCGTCCTCCTACAGGCGGATTCTGGAAGAAAGCAAAACTAGACAAACAATATTCGACAAGATTCAAGAAAGTAGAACAACTCGTCCCCGTAGTATTTTGGGACTATTCTGAATTGTCCTCCTGTAGAGGGACACGCCCGACCTAGGATGACCCTTCTCGGGCGATGCCGGGTCGCGTGTAGGCGTGCTCGTCGCCCTCTGGGGCGCAGGCTCCAGACCTCCCCCGTGCCCGTGCACTCGATGCACCTATCACCAGTAAAAAAATAAGCACACGGAGGCAATGAATCGTCGACTCCCGGGAAGGTATGGGGAAAAGATGCGAAGTGGGGGGGAAGACGAAGACCCAGAGATTGTTGGAACGTATTCAGGATTCTGGGATTCGGTGTCTATTTGCTTGTGTGTCCCAGGGCCCCTTGAGTATATACAGCTGTGTCGCCCTCTCTTCGGCCTGCAGAGGTCCCTCGCCGGGCCCCTCGTGAGGAGGCGGCTCGGGAGGAGCAGCCGGGCGGCAGGGAGAGGCCGGGGAGTTCCGAGGGATGCCGCATGGACGGAGACAATCAGGAGTGGAAGAAGCACACAGACACAAATGAATCGTCGACTTCCAGGAGAATGTGGGGCAATTTGGGAAGTGGGGGGGAAGGCGAAAGCCCCAAAGATATGGAAACGATGGGGAATCCTGGGAGTTCTGTGTATTTTTGTTGTGTGTCCCTGGCCTCTTCAGAGAAGACACCGGAGCGTCATCGTTTTCTTATTCATTGTTTTGCCGATCGGTGCGGGCCCTCGCACCCCGCCCCCCCCCATGGAGCAGATCCTGGCTGTTTCTGGCACCTGTGTCAAGCGGGCGGAGTCTCCCCCAGGGGACGCCTTGCCATGTTGCGAACAGTCTCATGAAGCAGAGGTCCAGAGCCAGCCTCCCCCCCCTCCCCCCCCCCCTGCCGCCTCAGTGCCGAAACGCCGAATAAGAGAAAGTTCACGCTGCCGTGCAAAAGACGAATGGCCCTTCCGCTTCCTTTCCCTATCGGAGGCGCGCGAAGCACAAGCGATTTCGAGCGCCCTTGTTTCATGAGTCTACCCTGAAGTCGGGCCTGTCATTCTACAGGAGGAAAATTCAAACATAACACAAACAAATATAATATTGGGACGATTTTTTAGCTATTTTGGTTTTTGGGGCATGTTTGGAGTATGTTTGGGGTATTTTCTGTTTTTCGCCCAAAATCCCCCTGCACGGGGACAGGCCCGACCTAATTCTACCCGCTCTGATCGTCGTGTTAGCCTTCGGTGGTCGGCGGGGATGTCTTGGGCGGAAGCCGGTCCTCCCTCCCCGCCACCCACGGTTGCGTCTCCAGTGCTGCCTTCTGGTTCGGTCCAACCGCCAGGGGAAGGGGTGTGTGGGGGGGAGAAGGGTCCACCACAGACCAGAGAAAGCCTCGCGTTTCTGATGAGATCTCTGTTGCAGTGTACACGGCGAGGTGTTCCTCATCACCCTCGTGCTAATGTCCCTATTCCTGGCCTTACTCTTACACATCCTCCCCATTCTCCACCTTCTTCCTCTCCCCTCCTGTTCCTGTGTCTCCTTCTGCCGTGCGTTTTTTTTGTGCTCCTCATCAGTGTTCCTTTACTTCCGTCCCTCTCATCCATGCTCTCCTGGGTCCGCTCGTCTCTGTTTCTGTGTCGTGTGTGTAAGTGTTCTCTCTCTCTCTCTCTTCCTCTCTCTATTCTCTCATCAATTCAGTCTCTTTCGCTATCTCTGTCTCTCTCCCTCTCTCTATCGTTTTGTCGCTCCCTCTCTCCTGTTTCGTCTCCTGCGTCTTCTCCTCGGCCTGATCCGTCCTCGGCCTTATTCTCGCTCTCCTTTCTCTGATCGTCTCTCCATTCCTCATCCCGTCCTCGTCTCTCCATCCCCCCCCTTCCCTCATCCCGCACGTCTCAGTTTCCTCTTTGTCCTCCTCCCCCTTCTCGTCCTCCTCCCCCTGCTCTTTGTCGCCCTCCTCCTCTGCCTCCAACTCCTCTCACCACTCCCGTTCATGATACAGTGCGTGTTCCTCCTCTGCCTCCACTTCGCTTCTCGTTCGCCGTCCCCTTCATGATACAGTGCGTGTTCCTCCTCTCCCTCTCCGCCTGCTCCTGGTCAGGCATGATGCACGAGCGAGGCGATGCGACTGGCAAGGAGGGGGCCCCTTGCGATTCGTGCGAATTCCGAGCCGAAGGCGCGCTTGTCACGGCCGTTTGACACATGCATGGCAGCGACTCGTTTGGCTTTTGTTGAGCCAGGACTCCCGGTTCGCGGAGAAGGAGGAGGAGGAGAATCGGTGGAGGAGGGGGGAGGCGTTCGGAGGTGGACTTGTATGCATGTTGGGATCTCAGCAGAGAGGAGTGAGGAGGAGGATTGGCAACTCGAGGGGCATCGCATCACCCCGCGCAGTAAGAGAAGTAGGGAGGCGTTGGCTATATGCCAGTGGACACGGCCGTAACGACTGGTGTGGCGGCGCCTTCTTCTTACCGACAACCGAGACGATGAAACACGAATCGGAGGCGACAGCCGCTCCATGTGAATACTGCCGATCTTACCGCGTCCTCCGCGTCGTCTTTTCCTGAGGAATTCCTTGTCCTCGTCTTCGTCGTCCTCGTCGTCCCCTTTTCCCCTTCCCCTCCCAGCCACTCCTACACAGACCATCGACGTTGTGTTCCCGTCTCCTCCCCAACGTGGGTACCGAGAGCGTTCGACCGACCTCTTCCCGAGGGCAATTTTTTCATCCTGAGCAGTTTTCGACATTCCCGGGGCGCGGTATGGGCACCGGGGAGCCGGAAAAGGCAACACAGGTCCGTCGTGCTGTTCTGCTTCGCGGCGCTAGTGCCAACGTGTTTGTGTGTGTGTGTGTGTGCACGCGTTCCTCCACAGCAGTCGTCATCCTCTGCTCTCCCCTCCCCCCTGGAGGGACGCCCCCCTGTGCAAACCGCTCAGCACGAAGGGGCTGCGCCGCGTGCGGGCGGCGTCTCCAAGGCGGCGCGGGGCAGGAGCTCGGCCGCCGCGTCGCGTGCGGCTCCTGCTGGGCAGGAGGGCGGGGCGCCGGGCCCTCGGCGCGTCCTTCCTCAAAGGCCTCAGGTCGAACAGCGGGAAACCGACCCCAGCCCCAACAACTGTTGATTTGATTCTGGATGGAACAAACACACAGATAGAATGAATCGTCGATTCCCCAGGAAGTATGGGAAGATATGGGAAGTGGGGGGGAAGACGAAAACCCCGGAAATACCTGGAAAAATATAGGGAATCTTGTTATTTGTGTCTGCTTGGTTGTGTGTCCCAGGGCCCCTTCATTTATATGTCATAATGTTTTGCAGCTGTGTCGAAGGTGCGCAGCTGCGGGCGCCCCGCAGGCGAGGCCATTGCCGCACACCTGGTCCGAAGTTCCTCCTGTGGGGGGCTGGGGTCGCGTTTTCACGCGTTCGCAGGCGGCAGGCTTGGAGCATATTGTCAGATACCCTGTCTTTCCGGGACGCGCGCGCTGCCGTGCGCTCGGGGCAAAAAGAAACGTGCCGCGTCACTCCACCCCTCCGGGCACTGTTGCGTCGCTGCCTCCCATGCTTAATGTTAAGTCGGGCACGTCCCTCTACAGGAGGAATATTCCACAATGGTCAAAACATAGTCTGGGGACGATTTCATTGACTGTTCAAGAATGTGTTCTGAATGTTATGACTATTATTTAATTGTCGCCCAAAATCCGCCTCTAGGAGGACATGCCCGACCTAACCCCTTGACCCCCCCTTCCACTTGTCAGCAGAGTCATGTTGTTTACTACTCGCTCAGGGCGGCTTTCACTCCATCAGTGCTGGCGCAGCGTGCCTCTACACATTAGTACCATCCACGATGATGACG